AAATGCTTCCAAACATTTTCACGAGGGCCTAATTTGCTATTGCAGCATTTCCGACAAGGACAGAACATCTTACCACTTTCTTGCGTGAGTGGTGTAGAATCTGCTTGATGCATAAACGTCTCCAACCCTTCCAGAAATTCGTTCATCACCCTCCTGCTATTATCTCTGTGTGAATACATCCACTGCCGCAACTCGAAAATATTTCCCGGACCGGACATTTTTTTGTGTTTGATCAAGCTTATAGCTGATTTTTTTTTGGTGTGTTTCAAATGAATCACATAAGGTGGTATTTATAGAAATTTTCGAATCTGAGCATTTACTAGGAAATTGCTAGGAAAGTAGGTACAAAACACGTTTTTTATTTAAATTCGATATTTCCTATCCAGTTCCTCATAATTTCGTAGTAATAAACCGTTTCCTCCTAATTTCGTAGTAAACTTTTACTATGAGTTTACGAGGAAAGTCTTTACTACGGCTTTACGAGGAAAAGTAATTTTTCCTCGTAAGCTCCTCGTAAAATTACTAAGGTCTTACGAGGAAAACGTTTTCTCGTAATTTTACGAGGATCTTACGAGGAAATTTGCTTTCCTTATAAACTCGAAGTAAGGCCTTAGTAATTTTACGAGGAAGATTTTCCTAGTAAAATTTCCTAGTAAAGGCTTAGTTTTCTTGTAATGTATCTGTTTTACGAGTATTCATCATCGATCTAGTTGAACTCACATAGTCTCTTGACTCTCTTGGGTCGCTTTGGGTCGCTTTGGCTGATCTTATTACAAACAATTTCTCAATTGATTGTTTCCTTAATATTTCTTTTTTTTTTTATGTAGACTTGTTTAGTAGCAGTTCTACATTTAGTAGTAAGCTTAATTCTTCATATATAATACTTGCAGGTTGGGCAACACAACTGTTTGCTTGTGAAGTAGACTGGACTACTGAGTATTCTTTTTTCAAAGTTCGGATTAGTCTTACTGATGCTGGTCACGGTGGGTTTTATCTATAGTTTTTATTTTATTTTGTTATAAGCTCCAACAATATTTCTTCCATATTGTGCTCAACAATTGGTATTGGGCTTATTGGTTTTGTTGACGTTCAGGGAGTACATGATAATTCATTATGTGTTTGATACGATTTTATTTCTGATAGGTGTGGCATATACATGGGTCTCCATGTGTTAATTTTTATGTTTAAGTTGATAATACTTCTGAGTCCTATAATGAGTGATGTTGTGAATAGAGGAAGGACTCACCAGAATCAATCCCTACCAGCTTGTGTTTTCTCTTATTGTTCTTAATAATGAGTCTGTATACATGTTCTTATCATTTTCTTGATGGGTTTACAGAACATGTGCAAGAGGTTTTAGGGTTGTTATTCACGTACATTCAGCTTATACAACAATGTGGTGTTTTCCAGTGGATTTTTGATGAGGTATGGATGTTATTAACTTGTTTGATATATTATGATGGTTGTTTTCTACTATTTCTCTGGCTAGACTTCCTATTGGCTCAACTAATTTAAAGAGTTTGATGCATCTTTTGTTGTTCTTGAAGCTCTCATCTATCTGTGAGACAAAGTTTCATTATCAGGACAAGATACAACCATTTTCTTATGTTGTGGATGTTGCGTCGAATATGCAGGTAACTATTGTCTTCAGCTACTGTGCAGATACTACGTTTCCCATTTACATAAAACAGATGCTTACCTGTGTTACCCATATGAAACTATATCTTGTGACTGAAGTTCTCGCATTTTATATCAGTAACAAACCTAATTTCCTGGCTTATACATTTCACTTTTTATTAATCTTATTTCTCCCTTTGCAATTATGTTTCAGATATATCCGACCAAAAGATTGGCTGGTTGGTTCATCATTACCTTCTAAATTTAATCAAGTTACTGTACAAAAGGTTCTAGATGAGCTTTGTCCTACCAATGTTCGGTAAATCTCTGTTTTTGGTCTCTTGGCACATGCAGTTGATGATCCAAACTGTCTCTTTGCCAAAGCTTTTGATGCCATTACATTTTCAGAATCTTTTGGGAATCAAAGAAATTTGAAGGGCAAACAGACAAGGTTGAGCCATGGTATAACACTGCTTATTCTCTTGAGAAAATAACCGAATTCAACATCCAGGTTAGCTTTTGATATGTAACATATGTTCCATCTAAAAAACATAGTTTCTGAATCAGAGTACCATATTTTGTTGTGTAATTATCTTCTTAATTTTACCACTTAATGGTAGTTTAAAATTAATTTGTGCTTAAAATATATATTCAGGAGTGGATGCAGTCTGTCCCTAATTTAAAGCTGCATCTACCAACACCTAATGTGTTTATTCCTAGGGATTTTTCATTAAAGGATGACAAATATAAGGTTTGGTTCCACTACTCTACTCGACGCTATCTCTTTTGAAGTGTTTTTAAACTTATGAAGTAGTCATCTCACATGATTAAGTTTTGCAACAGAATGAGTTACCTGTGTTGTTGAGGAAGTCAATCTTCTCGAGATTGTGGTACAAGCCTAAGACAACATTTTCCATACCAAAATCATATGTTATGATAGATTTCAACTGCCCCCTTGCAATCAGTTCTCCTGATACTGCAGCTCTTACCTATATTTTTATGCGGTTACTGATCTACGATTTGAATGAATGTGGTAAGTTTATCTCCACATATTTTCTATCAACTGTGGCTTTCTCTAGATTACATATGATGTAGTTCTGTTGAGCGTTATGAAGTGAAGCAAATGATACTATAGAAAGAGTAAGTTGATGATATGCCTCCTAGTTTGTTACTATCTCATGAACACTAGCTCTTTGCTTCATCTTACAGGTTATTATGCAATGAAAGCTGGTCTTCGGTATGGACTAAGAATTTCAGACAGTGGTTTTGAGGTCTGTTTATAGCTTTGTACAAGGATTCTTATTTTCACCACAAAGACTTTCATGTTTATTAACTGCTCCGTTTCATTTTTAGCTGACCCTTGCTGGCTTCAATAACAAACTGAGGACTCTGCTGGAAATTATCATTCAAAAGATAGCAAAATTTGAAAGTTAAACCTGATCGATTGTCTGTTATCAAGGTAACCATTTTAGAAGACCCTTCCCTCTTTCTAAAGTCTCTTTTACTCACAATTTTACTAAACATGACTGCTTCTCTATCCTTTAACAGGAAATGATCACAAAGGCATACGAAAATTACAAGTTCCGGCAACCAGATCAACAAGCAAAGTATTACTGCTCAATGGTACTAAAAGAACAGACCTTTCCATGGACAGAGTACCTAGATGCTCTTTCTCATTTAGAAGCTGAAGACTTAGCTAAGTTTGTTCCAATTATGCTATCGAGGACATTCTTTGAATGCTATATAGCAGGTATTATACTCTTTGGTGGCTGTCATGTTATCTAAGCCCTGAAGAATTTACGATGCCCTTTCAGGTAATGTTAGGAGTAGTGAAGCTGAGGCAATGGTCACACATATTGAAGATGTTCTTTATAACGACCCAAACCCTGTTTGTATAGCGTTTTCTCCTTCTCAGCACCTGACAAATAGGGTTGTAAAACTCCAAGAAGGAAAGAAACACTTTTACCGTCAAGAAGGCTCAAACCCCAGTGATGAAAACTCTGCTCTGGTGCATTATATTCAGGTATGTCAAATGAGTTTGAAATATATATGAGGAGGCTATGTTATTTTTCACTAATGTAAATTATTTTTTTGCCACGAATAGGTTCATCAAGATGAATTACCCATGAACATTAAACTTCAGCTTTTCCATCTTATTGCTAAACAAGCCACTTTTCACCAGCTCAGAACCGTTGAGCAACTTGGTTACATCACTTCACTTTCTCAGAGGTACATAGGAGTTAATGTAATGTTAAGAGTGCCTTTGAGTTCTTGTTGAAAGATACATAAATAAAGTGTTCACATTCTTGTAACTTAGGAATGATTCTGGCGTCTATGGTTTACAGTTCATTATCCAGTCTTCAGTTAAGGTACCAATCTAGCCTGAGCCTGCCATCTATGTGAATTGAAACTTTGCATAACCCCTTTCTTCTTAATGCCTTTGTTTTTTTTTTCATGTATAGGGTCCTGGATATATTGATTCAAGGGTCGAGTCACTACTCAAGAACCTTGCAAGTAAACTCGACATGAGTGATGAGAAATTCAAGGTAAGATGGTTCTTTCGTTTCTTGTAGCTAGGTCACTTGAAAGAGAGATGTCACCTGAAATGCAATCAATTTTCTGTACATATGATGTATACCAGAGTAGTACTACTACATACTAACTACCATGAGTTACTCCTCAGAGCCATGTAACAACTTTAATAGTCATGAAGCTTGAAAAACACAAGAACTTGAACGAGGAATCTTTGTTCTACTGGCGAGAGATTCAAAACGGGACACTCAAGTTCAACCGTAAAGATGCAGAGGTACCATATATGAGTTTAACACTTTTACGCTAAGTCAAGCCAACATCACAGCCCACTTGGGGTTCTATTTGTGGTTAGGTGGCTGCGCTGAGATAGCTAAAGAAGGAAGAACTGATAGGTTTTTTTGACGTATACATAAAAGTTGACGCACCAAAAAAGAAATCTTTGAGCATATGCGTCTATGGAAGTCAGCATGTGGAGGAAATGGCGTCTGAAATAGACGAAGTAGATTCACCGTTCATAGAAATCAAAGACATTGTCGGTTTTAAAAAGTCTCAACCTTTGTATGGGGGTCACTGAAAGGATGGACTCAACTGATAACTGTGAAGAGGTGAGGTCATAAACTCTGCTCAAGGACATGCATGAACAAACACTCCTATACCAAAAAGAACATTGTATATGTGTGAATCTTTATTTATCTGATTGTAAACTACACAGAGTTTTATCATTTATCGTCGAGAAAATAGAGATTATAATTTATAAAAAGTTTGTAAGTTATGGTTTATCTCTATCATTTAGATTTAGGGTTTATACGAAAGAAGACTGCATGTATCATAGAAACAGACAAGAACCACCTGCCTCACGTAACGTCCTGAACCTAGTTTGATCAGAAATCCAGAGATTTTTTTGTTTGTCAACTCTAGAGATTTTTATTTGTATCACGTAAAGAACAGTTCAGTTGTCACAATCAATAAAGCAACATAAAATTATAATATTACTGTATTTTTATGCCAAAAAGTATATTTTTAAAAAAAAATTTAGGAGAAAACAACAATCAAAATCAAACAACAGAAAATAGCAAAAGATCTCTTGCGTCTTCGTACACTTGAGAAGACTTGAGACCGCAACTAGCAACAGTTCCAGATCCTAACCCACCACCTACCAACACAGTCGAATCTTGACCCGACCCATTGAAAACCCCACCTCCGAGTAAATCGGTGACGCCGTGATGGTGGTGGTTGTCGGAAGGAGGATGGTAATAGAGACGCGCTGTCTGAGGACAGTGAGAATGAAACCTCGCGGCGATTCTCACGCCTGCATCCAATAGCTCGGCGTATTTCCCCATTCTTTGTAAGATCTTTTTTTTGTGTGTTCTCTTTCTCCTAGAGAGAAAGAAAGAGAGAGAGAGAGATGGAGACGATGATGAATGAACTTTTTGAAGTCGCGTCGTATTTATATGATGCAAGAAAGTCTCAGCTTTCTTATCTTAATGGGTTTTATATTTATTCTCCCTATTTTTTTAATTTTATTTCATATGTGCTCCTCAAGTTTGTTTTTTCTTTTGCTTTCATCTCCTTATAATCTTTCAATACTTCATAAGTTAACATTTACAATTCATAATAAATTATAATTTTCCCCATTTCTATTATATAATTAATAAATGTGGAGTGCCATATAACGACTAGAATATGGAACTAAATTTCAATTGATAAAGTATTTTTTGTCCAAAAAAATTAATAAAGGTATTTCTAGAAAGAAATACCTGAGGGTTTTTGATGAGCTACGCACCTTCTGATCGAAAGAAAGGATACGGATCAATCAGTTTCAAAAGAAGTAGAAGCTTCCTGATCGACATCGTCCTTGAATCAATCTCTTTATGTATAGCTCTCTCTCTATGTATATATAGCTTTCTGATTCTCTCTTCTTCGCTTTTTTATCTATCTCTATAGTAGAAGCCGAAGCGAGGATAGAAATTGTTATTGTGTTCAAGATTGTAATAATTGATGCAGATAGTAAGGGAATATGATGCGCTGGCGAGAACGGAGTGGAGAAGACGGGAACGTTTACGGAGGAGAAGTTGGGTCTGACATGGCAAATTTGTTGTCTCTGATTGGATGATTAAATTAAATGACGTGGATAGCTTAAAAAAGCTAGAATAAGCCCTTTTAATAGTGTATATTCTCCCTATTTTTTCCTTGTTCCTCTGTTTTTTTAATTTTATTTCATATGTGCTCCTCAAGTTTGTTTTTTTTCTTTTGCTTCCATCTCCTTATAATCTTTCAATACTTCATAAGTTAACATTTACAATTCATAATAAATTATAATTTTCCCCATTTCTATTATATAATTAATAAATGTGGAGTGCCATATAAAGACTAGAATATGGAACTAAATTTCAATTGATAAAGTACTTTTTGTCCAAAAAAAGAAATAAAGGTATTTCTAGTTTAATTTGAATAAGCATCAAACAAATACTCATAAAATTGTGGAGTTGTCCGTAGTAAAGTCTTTTCGTAATTAGGGTTGACAAAAAGGTCTTTTCGTAATTTTTAATAGATAAGATTAGTGTGAAAACTCAGTTTATCGAAAACCTTTTGGACTGTATATCTATATATATAAAAGTATGGGGTTGAAAATTAGAGGAAACCGAAAAACTTATTTTGAGATGTAAATCTAGTGTTTTTGTTTAAAAGGAATCTGGGTTAGCGTTTTCCTGAAAGATTCCTTTCAAACAATTAATAGGCAATTCAATGAATCCGCGTCAGAGTGGGGTCGTCCCTATACCAAACAGTCGCCGCGTATTTTTGACTGTGGCCAAACCGCAAAAGGTCAGCTTGAAACGTAAGCGTTTACTTTAAGCATCTTTTTCAATGGATGGACTATATCATCGACTTTTTGGACTTGTTTTAATGACATTTTTGGACTTTTAAATCTGTAACGTATGGTGTTTTTGTTTGTTTAGAAGTAACAAACAGCACATTACAAATGTCACAGGACACTTCCATTGTGCACAGTGAACTTATATAACTGTTAGTCTGTTACAACAAACATACTATTGTCAGTTGTTTTTCTTTCGGGAATTATGTCAGCTGGTTTATATAGGTCAGCTTGTTTACAAAAATTTAGTCAGTTCTTAATCTAAACCATAATCTTTTCATGGGCCTACAATAAGGTCTAATACAGAACCGATAAAGCCTATTACGAAAGTTATAGGCTCCGCAATGCCTCGTATCATAAAGTTACTAAGATACCCCACCGCAATTCTCTTAGTTCCGAAAAAACAAAAACAGTTTATTTGAAAACTAACACAAAAACATAATGTTTCCTTACCAACCAGAAACATTTAGGTAAAAATCTCATATACTCTTAATGAGTCAAAAAGTATTCTGTCATACTCTTACGAATTCTCAGATACTTTCTACTCTTCCTGAAATAAGAGATTTCCAATTTTACCATTACGTTTTCCCTTTTCAATTTAAAATTTGAATTTCAAATTTTATGTATCAAATTCAAAATTTGAATTTAGAATTTTAGTAAAAGTAGAAACTAAGTTGAATTAAGTTACACCATTGTCGAAAATATATTTGGTATAATTATGTCTTAGTTTTACCAAGTTATACATTTGTCAAAAGTACAACTTGGTAAAACTAGAACCTAATTATACCAAGTTATACAGTTTTACCAAGTTGTACATTTGTCAAAGGTACAACTTCGTAAAATTAGAACCTAGTTACACAAAGTTATACAGTTTTACCAAGTTGTACCTTTGTCAAAGGAACAACTTGGTAAAACTAGAACCTAGTTACACCAAGTTGTACAGTTTTACCAAGTTACACGAAAGTGAAACAACAAATCCAAAAAAACTTGGTAAACTAAACCTAGTTACACCAAGTTACACGAAAGTGAAACTTGGTAAAACTGTTTTTCTGGGTTTGTAGTTTCACTTTCGTGTTTTAGATCAAAAAACTGAAAATAAAGAAAGTAGATGGAGGAAGAGAAAAATCTAAGAAAATCAGAGATGAATCTAACGAAAAACGGAGACGGATCTAACAAAGAAAAAGACATAAAAGAAGAGAAAACGGAAGAAACAAAAGAGGTGGAGGTGGAGGCAGAGGTGGAAGAAAGAGATGAAGCAGAGGACAAGGAGGAAGACAAGGACGCGAAGGAAAAAGAGAAAAGGAATAAAGTTTACCAGAATTCTTTAACTAAAAAACTATAATGAGAAGAAGAACAAGATGAAGAACAAGAAGAATGAGAGAAAAGTAGTAGAGAGAAAGCATTTTGAAGAAGACAAGAATAGAAGCGTTAGATTTGTAGAGATAAGAAGAAAATTAGATTTAGTGGTATGATATGTAAATAAGTAGATTCATTAAGGATTTATAAGATTTTTAGTCAATTTTTGAATTACAAATAAATGAAAAAGAAAAATAGAAAAAGAGAGGAGTATATGAGATTAAAATTTTGGTTAAAGAGTATATCAGCGTTTGACTCAAACATTTAGTCACAAACCAAACAAAAATAACTAAAAGTGATTAGTTAATCAAATGAAATCACATTTTATACTCCTTTTTCTACTAAGAACCAACACTATCAAAGAATTGATCATCTAACATCATCTACGTTGGCTAAAAGAATCTCCTCCTGGGAATGCAGATAGCTCTTCTCTGCTGCATTTGTTCTTCAGCGACTGAAACTAGGACCTACTCCTCCTCAAGAGACCTACCAGACTCTTAAGAATGTAATCTGCTCAGGCAGTTGTCTACAGTGTCTGGAAACAGAGAAACAATGTTCTTCATAACCAAATTTCTGTCCCACCGCAAGTGATCTTCAAAGAAGTCGACCGAACCATCATCAACACAATCCACGCCCGGAGGAGTAGAAGAAGATTCTAAAATCTGATGGCTAAATTGCTGATTTAATATCAGTTCAATTACCCATGACCTTTGACCCTAATTATTTTCTTGTTTTTTTTTTCTTTTTTTCTTTTTTTGCCAAGAAATCATTTGTATAGGATGCAAAATTGTAACATTTATGATATTTGTTAAGAAATGAAGATGGTGGTTGGGACATATCCGGAAATGGACCAGACCACATCAGTACCATACCAGGCGGCCAAGCATCAGTCATTATCCTCCCTTGTATTTATCCATATGTTGTAGTTATCCTAATCATTATAGGATTAGGATAATCATCCCCTTTATTGTTGTAATCCTTATCTCCTAAGGAATATGCTTATTCTCTTGTATGTATATATATGTATGTGCACGTGATGAATAAGATATACAGAGTTACAACCTTCTTCTTTATTCTATAACACGTTATCAGC